TCTTTATCCGAACCAGCTTTGACCTCCACCTTTTCGCTGCCCCCTGCCCCAGCCTCCCCTCCTGTCCCCTCAGCGTCTGTCACCCTCCGGCTGCTCCACATCAACGTCTTCCACAACGCCAGCTCCACGGACGCACAGGGGATGGCCCTGCTGGGCGACCTGGAGATCCACTCCCTGGACTGCAGCACCTGCGAGATCCGCTTCCTGCAGCCCTGGGCCCAGCAGGGCCTGACCCCGAAGCAGTGGCAGGACCTGGAGCTGCTGATCCATCGCTCCCTGTTCAGCTTCAACCGGACTGTGAACACAATAGCCCAGCAGCAGGGAAAGGGCTGTGAGTATGGAGCGGTCTGAGGGGATCCCTCCCCCCACCCACCCGGGGTGCTGAGAACTGACACACTCACCACAGCCACTGAGTGTGTCACTGGGGGCAAGACAGCCAGTCCCTGGCCCTTTGGCTGATTGGAGCCGGCGTCCCCCAGAGGGGAAACACCCGTGTCCCATTCTCCACCCAGGTCTGGGGCCAGATTGGAGCCTGCACTTCCTAGAGGGGAAAGGCCCCGTGTCCCACTCCCTGAGCCGAGGGACCTGGTCTTTCCTGACACGTACCCTGACCCTTTGAAAGCAGGTCATTGGGGGGGGGGTCTGTATCTCGGGAACCCTGTGACCAAGGGACCCCAAATTTGCACCACAAACTCTGCCTCAGTCCCCGATGTAACACAGCGATTTTCAAGCCAATCCATCTATGCACGTGAAAAATCAGCTTTAAACAGAAACTGCAACTTACCCCTAACTCCAGCCAGGGCCGTCCCACCATCCTGCCAACGTCGTGTGGCCAAATGCCCTCATTGCACCTGACGTTATGTCTTTACTCCCCCCGTGTCTCTGTTTCTGCCCCCTCCTGTGACCTCTGGACGCCCGTCCTCATCCCCCTGCCCTTCCTGTTCCAGACCCCATTGTTATCCAGGGCTCCCTCGGCTGCGAGCTGCACCCCAACGGCACCTCGAGGCGATTCTATGATGTCGGAGTGAACGGCGAGGACTTCATCAGCTTTGACGCGGACGCAGGGAAATGGGTCGCTCGGCGGGGGGACAAGCTGGCGCGCTACGCCCGGGACCTTCTCAACCAGGATAAGGCTGCAGCCATGACGCTTCAGTTTCTTCTGAGAACATCTGTCAATCAGCTCGAGAGCTTTGTCCAGCATGGGAACGAGTCTCTGGAGAGGCAAGGTGAGGCTGGACACCCCTCCCCGCTCACAGAGATGCAGCCATCTCTGGGGTACTGTGTGTTTGCTGTTTATACAGGGATCCCGCACCCAGTGCTCATATGCAGCCACCTCTGGGGTGGGGCACAAGGGCTGGTTATCCAGGGCCCCCTTGCCTGGTGTACAAATGCAGTTATATCTGGGGTGCAGCGCAGTAGCCATATCATAGCCGCACTGCACAGCAGTTTAGGACAGGAAGTGAAGGGGGTTCCGTCACCACTGGTAACGGCAGGGGGCAGAATTGGGGTCTGGCCAGGACAGCGGGGCCAATGCCTGACCCCGGGGAATGGAGCTGGGCTTGGCTAGTGAGTCCCTGAGGCTCAGACTGAATCGTCCCCTCTCCCCCGCCCCGTCTCTCTCCTCCTGTCTCAGAGCGGCCGGTCGCCGTGGTGTTTGCCCGAGCCCCTCCCCCAGCCGGGACCCCCGCGCCGGTACTGCTGGTTTGCCGGGTCACCGGTTTCTACCCCCGGCCCGTCCGCGTGGCCTGGCTGCAGGACGGGGAGGAGGTGGGGCCGGGCGGGCGGCTGAACTCCAGCGGGATCCTGCCCAACGCGGACCTGACCTACCAGCTGCGCAGCTCCCTGGCCGTGGAGCCGGGTGCCGGGCACAGCTACGCCTGCCGGGTGCAGCACAGCAGCCTGGGGGGCCGGAGCCTGCTGATCCCCTGGGGTAGGTGCACGTCCCCGGGGAGGCGGGGGGTCGTGGTCTCTGGGGGCTTTCCCTGCACGTCCTGAGTGGGACGGGGGTGGGTCCAGGCAGCGGGATTGGGGTGCAGGGAGGCAGAGGGGGTGGGTGGGGTGTGGAGATGGATTGGGGGAACAGGATGGAGGAGCTGAGGGGAACAGGAGAAGGGGGAGCAGGACTAGAGTCGGAGAAAGTTGAGGGGTGGGAAGTGGGGGAGTGTAACGGGGGGACTGCAGGGGAGGCTGAGGGAACAGGGTCGGGGGGCTGAGGGCAGTGGGTCGGTTGAGATGATCGGGGGAGGGCTGCAGGGGAGGCTGAGGGAACAGGGCCCACACTCCTGTCCCCGTTCCCAGCACGGCACCCCCTGTGTTACAGAGCAGAGCAGGCCCTGGGGCCCCGGCCTGGCCGTGGGCATCACCCTGGGGGTTGTGGCCGTAGCCGCCGTGGCTGTGGTGCTGTGGCGGAGCAGACGCAGGTGAGTCCTCCGCTCTCTGGGGTGGGGGTGGGGGGACCGTTACACCCCCTGTGACGGTGCTGCCCGTGGGAGCCAGCTGAGGTCACTCAACCAGGGTGAACTGCAAACAAAACGGGGCAGACAAACCCCAAACGCTGGTGGATCTTCCAGTGCTGAGATTTACCAACCAGCCCAAAACAGCCTCTGTGTTACCTCCCTGGTTACTCAGACGTCCAAACAACGCAGTTCCCTTAAAGTACCCAGCCTCAGGCCTCCGTCCAGACACACACGTTAGATACGATGATGATTACTGAGAATCTTCTCTCATCATATAAAAGAAAAGGTTCTTCCAACCCCAAAGGATCAGCCACATACCCAGGTCCAATGATAACTTAGATCTTACCCAAAATACACGTTATAGTCAATTCTTATTAACTAAACTAAAATTTATTACAAAAGAAAAGGGAGAGAGTGTTGGTTCAAAGATCAATCTACAGACAGACTTGAATTCAATTCTTGAGGTTCAGACACAGCAGAGATGAGCTTGTAGTGGCCAAAAGTCCTTTTAGAAATAGTCCAGAGGTTATAGTCCAATGTCCATATTCAGGGTGGCTCCAGTCAGTGACTGGGGATCTCAATCCTTGTGGCTTAAGGTTTCCCCCTCTTGAAACCCAAAGCAGATCTGAGATGAAGCAGGATCATGTCCCAGGGTTTTTATACATTTCCAGCAGCTGCTTGGCCTGAGAAAACAATAGACTTAACTCTGCTTCTTTTAAACATCCTGGCAATTAGCACAGGGTCATTTATCCATTAAACAGTTCAGATCCAGGTCACCACAACCTTCAAAGAGACATACAGACAATAATTCTACTTCACTCAAGTGTCATCATAAATGTTAATATTCCTGATTTGATCTTTGAATTAAAGCTCTAGCAATAGACAAGACTTGTTTGCTGACATCCCAAGCCCTGAGCAAACATCTCCCCTTGAGATCTCTAACAATGCCGGCTGCATTTCAAAGCTCTATTCATTTACAGATCTTCCTAACCAGTCGCTAAAGTTCGGCCCTGGGTTAGGTCAGTCTGGGAGGTAATTAACTCTTTCTGGCCCTGTCATCTTCCAATGAGATATTATATTACACTCAGAACGTCACACCCCCTAACCCATCCCCTCTGCTCTCTCCTTCCAGGGGCTACCAGGATGTTGGACCAGGGGAGTCCAGTCCCTGAGGGGGCGGCACCGGCCCTGGCTTGGGGATCAGCCCCTCTCCTGAGGACATGGCACTCAGGGCTGGGTCTGTGCCCGGCTCCCAGAGCTGAGGGTGCCGAGGGCAGGACTGGATCGGGGCCCTGGGAGATCGGGGCCCAGGGTGGGGGGTGGGATTCTCCTCCCTCTAGGACGTTGGGGGCACGGTGGACACTTGGGGGCGCTGTGGGATCGCTGGGATCCAGGATCCATGGGGACCCGGCGCTGGCTGTGCTATTCAATAAACCCTTCAGGGAGGGGCTGCCCAGCAGGCCCCACCGGGGCTGTAGGAGCCAAGCCTGGGTGCAGGGGTCAGGCCGAGCTACATACACAAAGGCGATGGGCGCGTGGGGGTCCCAGGAGGGCCCTGGCAGGGTGTCCAGGCTGAGCTGGGGTGCCCGGGTAGCAAGCGGGTTGCCCATGGGACATAGTCCCAGCTACCCCCAGGAAGCCCTGACAACACTACGGCCCACGGGGCGCCGGGGAGTCTGCTCCAAGCCGCTGGCTGGGCTGGGCTGAGAGCTCCTGGGGGCAGGGCCCCCCCAGAGCGGGGTGTGAGGGACCCGGGCTCCGGGGGTAGGTTCTGTCTGTTTGTTCTGTGTCTGTGCAGCGCCGAGCACAAGGGGGTCCTGGGCACGACCGGGCTCCTCGGCCCTGCGGTAACACAGCGATAACAACAGTCCTGGCTGGGGAGGGGAAGTGGGTTTGAGTAGGGGGAGAGGGGGCTAGTCAGGACTCCTGGGTTCTATCCCAGTTCTGGGGTCCATTGGTTTAGAGCAGGGGGGCTGGGAGCCAGGACTCCTGGGTCCTGTCCCCAGTGTAGGAGGGGAGTGGGGTCTGGCTGGTTAGAGCAGTGGTGAGTGCGCTGACCAGCCTGTTACCAGGTAGAACAGCAGCCCAGAGATGGACAAATTCCCATCCAGACACCCGCTGCCAAGGGCTGTGTCTGCATGGCAGGGCCCGAGCGGTGCGGCTCCACCGGCAGCCCAGTGTGGACGCAGCGCTGCCAGGAGGGGTGTATCCCCAGTGTGGGGCCAGCACCTCCCCGCACGGCACTCGCCCGGTCCACACCTGCCCTGTTCTGCAGAGCGACTGTGTGCACATGGGGGGTGTCAGAAACAGACACCTACGGGCAGCATCCGCCCCCTCCTGGGCAGCTGGAGTGAATCGTTCCCTGTGAGGGGGAAGAAGCTCAAATAACCTGGCTGGCACCTGAGCAAACGGACCAATAAGGAAAGAAAATTCTTTCCAATCTGGAGGGGTTGTTTGTGCCCTTTGTTTGTGCCCTGTCCGGACGGAGGGAGAGACCAGGAGGGACGTCTCCTGAAAGCCGGCCTGGAATGCTCCATCTAAGATTACAAACATGGTCAGTATGGGCAGGAAATGCGTTAGATTACCTTTTGTTTTAGCTTGTGACTTTTCCCTGTGCTAAGAGGGAAGTTTATTCCTGGCTTTTGTAACTGTGGGGAATCCTCTGTGTTTTAAATCTTTTTATTACCCTGTAAAGTCACCTTCCATCCTGAATTTGCAGGTGTGATTCTTTTCTTTTTCTTTAAATAAAGTTCTTCTTTCAAGGAAAGAATATGTTAGGAATGCCTAACGTAGTGAATGCTAATGGGAAGGGGGTAGGTTTAGCAGATAAAATAAAAAGAACAAGTTAAAAATCACTTAGAAAAGTTAGATGCCTGCAAGTCACCAGGGCCTGATGAAATGCATCCTAGAATACTCAAGGAGCTAATAGAGGAGTTA